GAAACAACATTAGGTTTTTGTTTTGAATAACTAAAAGTGCATTGCGCCCACCGGACATTTGAGTGCGTTGGTTTTCCGACGGAGGGCGCAATTCATATGCCAACGCACTCTCTCCATCTGCCACACATGACTTTTCACGCTATGATTTGCCATATATCAATACGCAGGTGTTGTTCGGCCATTCAAGATGGCGGCCCATACCCAGTTGGCAAGGAAACTATTAAATCTTTCTCTTGCCATACACTTTCCATAACTTCCATCTGTTTTGGTTTCAATTTCACGTCAGAATTGTATTCATTCAGAATACGTTTTAAAGTTGCCGTGAACTCTGCCATATTTAAATATAGTTTTACCCTGCAATGACCATTGATTTGCATAAATGCATAACCAAGCTGTGGCTGAAGTGATTTGAAGAAGCACCCTCTTGCGTGAAGAGTGGTGCCAACGTCGTCAGGTCCCCTGTCCCAATTTTAACGCCGAGGGCGGATTTCTTAACCGCCCTCAGCGTTGAATATATAAATTGGGGAAGGGGGACCAGACAAGTTCCAACGTCGAGTAGTCATATTAATAACTGTGAGTGGAAAGGAAGTGCGAAACTCGGTTTGACCCCCCCCCCCACAGTCTATGGGAAACTACTAATATATTATGTAACACTATAATATTCACACGGATTTGCCAGTAAATCGAAAAGTTATTTTGTAATTTTACATGTTGTACGCGCGGGGTTTCGATTTAGCGAGCATTTAAAGCGTTTTGAAGTCAATCGTCGATCGTCACGTATTTTACAGATATATTAAGTTGTTTCAGAGACCTGTTTACTAAATAATGATAAATGAAACTTAGACAATTTGTAAGAACAAACTGGTCCCAAATTGTGCAAATTTACGCTGCTAGTGTCTAGTTCGGAAGGAGTTCTACTCGTGATTTTATCGCGTTCAATCCCGGGCGTTCAATGACGTTCTATTTTCGAACTCCTTGAAACCGGAAATTACGCAGTACTTTTGAACTTCAATCACAAATTTGATTATCGTTATTATGTGTTAGTTTCTGTTATTTACAAGCTTTATGACATTAACATTTCACCCACTAAACAATATTTCACTACAATACGCGATTAAAAAGCAACTTGAAATTATGGTGGAGAATGACCTGTGTCATATGGCGCCTTACTAGCCGATTTTGGCCAAAATAGCGCTCCGCCGCCTCTTTACACTAGTGTTTATACACGGAACTTGATACTTCTTTTTCCATTGCTGCCTAATTTTGCGCGGAATGGTAAAAGTACGAAAGCCGAGAAGTCGGAAGTAGGAAGGCCCCTCTCGGCTTTCGTATAAAAGCATGGTGAAACCTTCCATGGTAAAAGTGAATTGCATTCGTGGATCACTTTACTATAAGCATTGTTCTAGACATGGAAGGTCTAGGTAACCGTGTGTTACGCCAACGCCCCCCCCCCCCCGTACACAGTGGCGCATTCTCGTTCAGCCTTTGTTTCTAATATGAGCCGTCACGAATACAAACATCAATAGACGAGTACATCAGGTGCTTAGTATGGGATCGAAAAAACGTTGTCAATGGGGTCCTTGAGACATTTCCTTATTTTCAGTGTTTAAACATCACTTTCATACAAATGTGTTGATATACTGTTTTCAGCAGGGGGTTAAAAACTCGCGGGTGGGACACTAAACTTGGGTATTTTCTATGTGACCCGTGAGCTGAAAACCGTAGCTCGAAGTACGCACCCCCTATATATATATAGTGGAAGGGTCCGACTATTTTCAAGGGGTGATTTTTGACAAGTAAGGCGAATGACCCACCTGTGTCATTGTTAGCCACACGCACTGACCCCCATCTTCATAATAGCCAGTCGGCCTGTAACATAAATTATAATCAATGTAGACGGAAATAAAAGTTTATCTGCTCACTGCGCAAAATGGCTAGCAGCTTGGACAAGAGATTTTCTTGGCTGGTGCCACTTTGGGTGTTAATTGTTTTCCCGATATGTGAGTCCAATTTGATACGATTGCGACCAGGCCAAGAGTACATCTACCAGTATGACGCGACAACGGAGTTAAAGATGGCTGGCGTCATCAAAACTAGCGCTAAGGTAAGATTATACGCTTTCTCTCGGGGTACCTATAAACTTTCAGTTGAGGAAGTACCGGCTCTTAGTGGATAAAGACGGGTGCGTTTGGCGCCTTAAATGAGTGCCGGTATATAAGCTTCTTTACTAATGTTAGCGTTAAATAACATAGCTAGGCTGGAGTTTTAGAAGCCACTCTCAGCTTTAAATTCAAAAGTACATTTGCGTTGGTGTTTATTCATCAAAACTAGCGCCAAGCTAATACTACTACGCATTCCCCCGGGGTATCTGTAAACTTTCAGTTGAGGAAGTACTGGCTCCTGGTGGTTAAAGACGGATGCGTTCGATACGTACCTTAAATAAGTGCCAGTGTATAGACTACTTTACTTGTAAGCGTCAAATAACATTGCTGTGATTTTTAGAAAACACTCTCACCTCAAAATTCAAAAGTACATTTGCGTGTCGGTGAGTGGTCCTATAGAAAGACTTCTCGCCTCTGAAATTCTGAACACTTTATTTTTTTCGTCATTTCTGTAACACTAAAATGAGAATTCCAGTAAACATATGACAGCCAACGACACACGCAAATCGGGGGTGTTGAAACGCTAACAAGGCAAAAGCATTTTAAGTCGGGGATAATCCTATTAGCTTTTACACAGCATGCCCGGGGTGTTATGAGCGCGTCTGTCATATCAGCGGCGATACAGTGATATCATAGGTTCAATCATGGAACTACGGGGTTTGTAGTTCCATGGTTCAATAGAAGAGATCCTCTTCTCTAGAATTCAAAATATTAAATAGCCGCGTGTCATTTCACATATCGAAATACCAACACGGAAAGCTTAAATCAGCGTTGTTTGTTCAAGGAAGGATGTAATCACGTGACTATGTCAACTCCGAGCCGGCGGTTGTAACTGGTGCGATGTATTAGTAGAGAAGACAGGAGGCATGCCGTTAAACAGTGTAGCCTTTGTTTACTCTGTCTAGGGCACCTTCCAAAGCAGTTTCCAGTAAAAATTCATACTACAAACCTGGTGTGTGACACAATGATTAAAGGGTGGCAGTCGTCGTGCCGCGTCCTGTTCGATATGGGAGTACTCATAGCGACGTATACAACGCGTGTAAAATACATTGTTTATTTACATGAAATTCGAACACGTGCTGCGCGACGACCACCGCGCTTTAACGTGTCCACCTATCATCGGGGAGGTTGTGGGTTCGAATCTACGGTCGGCAGCACACTCAGAAGTGTGAAAAAGAGTGCGCTGTGTTACTTACCAGACCCGCGCGACAAACGTATTCGTTCTTTCGGATGGGAACGAAAAGATGTCTGTCGGTATTAATAACATATATAGAACAAAGTAAAATGTATCATTTGCAAAGCATACTGGTAAAGGATATGGCCTCAGCTGCCTCTGAAACACAATCTTCTCGAATTCAACTTCCAAAATCCACAAATTAGACAAAGTGAATATGCATAATATACTAGTATACGATACTTCCTCTTCCTTGATATTACGATGACATTTATAATTTAAAGTGACATTTTTTTTATACGTGCCTATCTCTAATTTTTTTAGACTTGTTTACGCCTGTACAATCTTCGGGACGAATCGGTTAAATCGGTGTCCGTTTTTTCGCCTACGGTACTTCGTCTTCGGATTTTAGGGTTCCATCATAAAGTATTAATTAACAATGCACCATCACGGAATAATTTGCGGCTCCATGTGTTAAATGCATCATGAAACATTTTGTAGCAAGG